TGGACAACACGTGTCCAATCTGATCAGGGAAATGCAACTTGAAGAGTCGAATCCTACAAAACAAAAACAAAAACAACACAACCTACAACCTAAGTAGATATATTTTGAGAAAAGGCTATAAACCCGTCACAGAATAATTCCGTAAGTATTTTTTTAGCCATTAGATAAACATGTAACTTTCATATTGTATTTACAATAATCTATATATATATAATTGCTAGCATATACAATTTAATAAAACATTTAATAAAACCTCCATTCATTTTCCCGCTCATTTTTTCAATTAATGTAGAACCGTTACATTTTACATTAATAAGGTGTAATAATAATTTTAATATAATTTATTCACTACTAACACTAATTGATTACAACTTTACATTAAATAGTATGTGGAAGTTACATACTTATAAAAAATTGTATTGCAACTTTTTTTTTTTAAATATTTTTTCTATAATAAAATATTTTTGTTCTTTTTAAGCGATTTTTATCTAATAAGTTAATTGACATGAGTGTCATAATTAAACACCTTAAAATCACATAAACAAATGCTATAATAATGATAAAAATAATTGTAATATTTTTCTAACTAATTAATTGTATGGTCTCTCTAAATTACTAAATTATATTAGTCATTAAAATTTATGGCATCAATATAAGGATTCATACGTAAGTTAAATAAATTATATTTACATTACACATTTGCATGTAGTCCAAATTTAAAATGTAATACATCAATTATTTAATATAAATTTTGTATATATTCTATACATAAATATAATATATAAATTTTTATTTTTCTTTGTGCATGTGGACAGGATGAATACTAGTTGTATATCTAATGGCTAAAACCCTCACAAAATCATTCTGACGGGATTGTAGTTTTTTTCTATATTTTGACTTTGTTTTAAAATTTCCCATGTTTATAGATTTTAAATTAAGTAAATTCCACAAAGAAGGGAGAGAAAAAAAAAAAAAAAAAGATGTCAAAAGTGGGTGCAATTAGACTACACATATAGTAAACTAGTCTTCTTGACCTAATGTACCCTAATACAATACAAATACAAATATAAATAAATGTGCAAGTTGCACTATACCGGATTATGCATTTTTAACTAACCACAGAATAGACGCTGCAAAATCTATCACGTTGAACACGGTTTTCTTTTAACCATGTACGTTACTTTATTATTATTATTATTATTATTATTATTATTTGTTTTGGTTTTCTGATACTTAGTAAAATAGTTAAAATAAAATATGTGCATATAATATGATTTTATTTGAATTTACTGAGTTATCTATCTGTGTATATATATAATTGCTAATTAAGCAATAAATTTTATCTAATAAATAAAACCTATTTAATTTTACATGCATGACACTTTTCTAATATAATGATTGTCACAATCCATTATTATTATTATTATTATTATTATTATTATTATTATTATTATTATTATTATTATATCTCATAATTAGACTGCATAAAAATGAAAATAAAATCAATAACATTATAGTGAAGTTGGAATTGGTTTGAGATTTTAACTAAAGTTAACTAAGAGACATGAGAGCAATTTACGTAAAATTATAATATGTAAAGCATAAATAGAGTCACTTGTGATATAACACATATAGTAGCTCGGTGAAACCGAGCGGGGTCAGCTCGGTTTATAAAGGAAGATCATCTAAGCTGGTTCGATAAAGAAGTGAAAGCGCTCAGGTAGCTCGAATTAACCGGGTGTAAGATACAGCTAGGAGTGTATGAAACCGGGGCCATATGTTAATATGGATAGCTCGGCGTATATATAGCTCGATTTACGTGGAGCGAGGGTCTTAGGTCAATATGAGTAGTTCAGCATTCATGTAGCTCGACAATCATGTAGCCCGACCCTCATGTATATATGTAGCTCGTCATAGGCATATTTAGGGAGCTTGGCATATGTTAATATGGGTTAACCTAGCTAATTACAGATAGATTGATAACTCGAATATTGAGGAGCTCGATACTCAGTGGTTCGATGAGTGACGCTAGTGAGAAGACCGACCTATGCGGCAGGTCAGGTTTATGTTGTCCATAAGGACACATGTAGGATCACAAATAAAAGAAATAATTAACTGGACGAGTACGAATAATGTTTGGATAACTAAGCAGACTTAGGGGTAGCATATTAATCGACGTACTGCCTATTCGGGCAAAAAGGGCAGTAAGGCAGGGCATAAGCTTGTTCAGGAAGCGAATATTCCTCTATAAATAGATAAAGTTGGGAAAAACTAATAATCACTCTATATACTCCAAGCTTTTCAATTGAGTTCAACATAGCTTTCCATAATCATTTACTGACTTGAGCGTCGGAGGTTTAACGTTGGGAACATCTCCCATCGTCTTTGCAGGTCTCTAGGGAGCAAATTGGTGAATTCGAGGTGCGAGAGCACATCAACTTGATAAGAAACATGATAAGCTACAAGCTTACATGGTCTGTTGGCATTGTGCAGCCTTTTTCCCGTTTCATTTTCCAACTGCGAAGGCTTGCCTCTCTCATGCATAACTTCTTGCAGTTGCACGTGGCTATCTAGTATTAGTTGTAGCCCTAGGGTTTCCTGTGAGTAGGCTGAGTAGGGCAACTCGTGCTCTCGATATGTAGAATGTATATAATGCTCCTTTCGCAGTCACTTATGAAATGAAGTATATCTTCCTCATCTGTTCAACAACTTTTATTTCATCTCTCATTAATGTTTTGGCTGCTTTCTTGATCCTCCAACATGGTATCACAGTAGGTTATTGACATGTCTCCAGTACCCTTCTCTTCTCGATCATTTATTGCTATTTGTCCTCAAGTTACCATCTGTTTTAATGGTCGACTCTTCCACCGTCCAATCAACACATCATCCTTTGGTTTCTGGACCTCAAAACTCCCTTATCTATTCCCACCATCAACTTGTCTCTCTATAACTCACATATTCAAACTTTCTTTTATGGAAGCAATAAGTTATCACTTTCATCAAAGGATATGTCCTGTAAAATTTTATCTCTGAGTTCATATCTTGATCCCTCACAAACCAATGTTGAAGAAGGAAAGACCATATATCCTAGTGAGTATGTTAGCTGGGTTAGACATTATCAACTCCTTGCAAGTTGGCTCCTTTCATCTCTCTCTGAAAATCTCCTAGTTATGATAATGGTAAAGATCATCTATCGAGAGATCTGACAAGCTTTAGAGTCCAACTACTGTGGTCAGTCAAAGGTTGGACTCATGCACTTCAAACTCCAGCTGCAGACTCCTAGGGCAACATGCATATATGAGGGAGTTGTTGTGATTCCCTAAGAACAACTAGTGAGGCAGTAAGTGAGCAGAACCATATCTTTTATATCCTTGGTGGGCTTGGAGTTGAATACAATGTCGTTGTGGTGGCAGTCACCACAAGAATTGACAAGAATTTTCAATCAAACCAAGAGGGCCATTATCGACAAAAAAAAAAGCATAAATTGGAGAAAACGTGAAGGCAATATTGTTTTGTATGTGGTGGAGTTCTGTTTAGACGTGAAGTTTGCAATTTCATACTCTAAGTAAAAGTCTAATAACGCAATTGCACAGTGATTCTTATGTTCATCAAACCTATTGCTGACCAGAAGAGACGAAAATAAAAGTGAAATCTTGGAGGGAAAATACCGTTCAAACAGTTTAGCTTATACCGTGATATGAACATGAAATGCAATAGTATAAGGACGTCTGATGTTCATAAGAGTTTGAGTTGAAATGTATATGTTTCCTCATTCTGTTTTGCACCGTGAATTTTATGATGTTCGACGCTTAAGATTCTAGTCAATGGAAAAACGTGCAAATGCTACTTATACGAATGCTTACATGAAATGTCTTTGTGATTGGTGGCACTTACCCAAGAAGCCAAGAAAATTGAAAATTACAGTGTTACCTTAATTATTTTATACCAATAACCCATATGCATGTAAGAATTGAAGTATTTTTATCAATGCGAATTCGAGTAGGTTACTTCACATATTTGAACTGAAGTATTTTTAACAATGTCAATTCTGTTAGCTCCACCAACATTAGACAGTCGAGGTTAACCAGTGTTTGAAATATGGCGAAAACCTTGAGGGCGATTGTCATTGCCAGCTTAGTTGTCGATCAATCTTGACTATGGCCCATGTTCAACTTGGTTCTGACAAGCTCAACTCGCGTTTAGCTCAATTCTTACTAACCAAAATTTCTAGCTAGCTCAAGTGCGGCTCGTATTCAGCTTGGTTGAGTAAAGCCTTCGACTAGCTTAATCGCAACGAGTGATTGATTTTCATAATTTGATAGAAAATACACATATATATATTTATGATGGTGGAGGGACATATGTGACCTATAGCTGGGTCTCCTCTGGTCTAACCAGTAATGACAACAACCAATTAGACAAAAATCCAAATAGCACAAGCAGCTTCATAAACACAAACAACATCACGGGCCCAATACCATGATAATGTTTGTTGGGCTCTAACCTGTAGCTTTCACGATAGCCTGTCCATGGGACCCAAACACATTATGTTGGGCTTGCTGCATAGCATATTGTATTCGCAAGTAGTTGAGTTTTAACCATTAATCAATATAAAATTAGATGAGTGCTTATATACCATTAATCTAAAACAGACAAAAACAATTGAAAAAAAAAATATTAATAATTGAGCATTCAATATGAAAACTTGCTTTTGCTTACAAAGCAAAATTGAATATAATAAAGTATCTTCACTTAACACGATATGTATATACAAAATTTAAAAAAGAAAAAAGAAAAAAAAATAATATTAGTTTGGATTGGGAGAATGTAGAATACATGTACAAATTGGCACAATTCAGCAGCTCCTGCAACAACTGGGACCAAAATGAACTTGTGCAGAATCACTTTAAGGGAATATAAATTTCACAACATACTTGCAAGATCTTACCGACCCTGGAATCCGGACGCAAATCTCTTTAATCACGAACCGAACATGGCATCTATGGCGCTATATTGCATTCCCTCAAATATTGGTGATCATAATCCACGTACTTTGTCCAGTAGTTTCTGAACTTTGGTAGTCCAATCTCGAGCCAAGGTTTCAAGTTGCCGTTGTAGTGTACAACAGCTGCACGCTCGATATCCTTTTGAGGTACGTTCGGATTATAACCAAGTCCCAACACATGCCATGACTTGTCAAGAGCGTAAGTTCGATTCCAAAAGGTTATTAGGCCAGGTGGCAAAGTTCCTAGCTTCCAAAGTAGCCTGTCGTGATTCTGAACGTAGAAGAGAATTCTGGTTTAGTTTCTGACAAAAAAAAGTAATCAAATCTTGGAAATGGCTGTCTTTACGAATAGTTACCAGGATTTACACATAGTTCAAGGAATTCATCTATACGTGCAGTTATATACGTGTCAATCATCTAACGGAATGAAACATGAATCGCAATATGATTTGAAACAGAAAATCTTCTCCCTGTTATAGAACATAGTTCAACCCGACTGTCAACTTTCAGGGCAAAATTTAAAACTTACTCATGGGCAGATAAGAAGTGTGTTTGCAGAAAGACATATAACCATATTTCCATCCCACACCATTTCGCGGCAAAATAATCATTTAACTATAAGACTGCCAGACTTGATCCTAATACCAACAGCATTACTTGGCACAAGTAAATCCCAATGCTGGAAAAATTAGTGATGAAATCAATGATTTTCACATAGTTGATTATTTTTAAAACTTCTAATTTTGCATGATAATGCAGAGATGTATAAATAGTTAAGACCCCATTTTCAAAGCCATGCACTTAATAAAACCATTTTGCTGACAGTCGCAAACTCAGAATTTTATTGCCGAAAAATGTAAAAGAAAAAAGCATAGATTCTTCATTTTTTTTTTTTTAAAACTAAAGCTCGTCAAACAATTAAAGGATCCTTACCAGGTTCTGCCACTTGTGGTACACCTCAGTAATACTCTGCCGCCTCCACTCATTCAAATCGAATATGTTCATCCCAAAAGCCCAACCACAAGCTCGTGGGCTAAAATTCCTCGAGATAAGAGGGTTCGAAAAATTGAGATATCGGTCAAACCTGTGAAAGCTCTCCCCACATGTCTCAACCACACCAATGACTTTTCCCTTTAGATTGAGCGACCATAATCTAGTGAGGTCCCTTTGCACCACGATATCATCGTCCAAGAACAAAACCTTGCCGAGCTTTGGGAAAATCTCAGGAAGATAAAACCGGAGATGGTTCATGATCGAGAGGTACTTGGGATTCCTGAATTTTAAGTTGGAGTCGGGCTCTGCTCGACGGCTCTTGAAGTAGTAGTCTATCATGGATGGCGAACCCAACTGCCTTAGGACAGGACTGTAGCTCGAGTTTAGCCATGTGAACTCCTCCACATTCTGGACCTGTATGGTTGTGTTGCCAGGCGGGTTGGACAAGAACCACATTCTCATGGCAGCATAATTTAGCCTGTCCGTAACCACATGGAAAACGTGCTTTGAAGGATCCTGTCAGCACGGAAAGTGTTTATATCATTAATGACAAAGATAAATATATAAAATATTCCCACCACCCTACCAAAAATATACTTGTTTACCTTTCACACAGTTCTGAAAAAAAAAATGACCCATCATTCTAGTTGCGAAATGGAAGTTCATCAAACATTTTCCTTATATACCATTCATGTAAGTAGTTCTTACATTTTCATTATCATATTTTGTTCATAGGGAAGCAGATTAACTGAAGGCAGAAAAGAAATCTCGTACACAAAGTATTAAAGGAAAAATACCTATCTTTTTGAGAGAAATGAATTAGCATTGAAGCCTAATTTTGCCAGATAGAGGGAGTGGTAATTAAAAGTAGACTTATTTCTAGAATAAAAATGGAAATAATTATGTCACCTTTGCGTGGGTTATTGTAGAGTTCACAACAACTGCTGCAGCTAAAACGTTGTCCGAAAACAAGGCATAGTGGTAGAGGTCAGGATCATCTAAGTTTGCTTCGTTTGGAAATTGCTGCTGGGATGAGTTCAACATGAAATACTCGGTTGAAAGACGTAAAGGAAGACAATGGAGTCCTTTAGGGATTGTCTTGGCCGTTAAGTGGGTCAAAAACAAAGCCTGCTTCCTGTGCACTCTTAGCTGCTCGTCAGCCAAATGAAGCATGGCACGGAGTTTCTTGATCATGGCCCCACAGTCATCTTCAATTTGCTTGCCTTTCAGAAGTGTTTGCTCCATTGCTTTTAATCTCTCAGAGGCACTAATCAAGAAATTTGACAAAAGAAAAAATTACAAAAACAAATAATTTATCCCATTTTATTTTTTCTTCTCTTTTCATTTAAGACTTGAGAGCCAGAATAATATATATAACCAACCTTCTCGGCAGGTCCAAGTCCCTTGTGGCATGATCACCAAGCACTCGATGAACTTCTTTAATACGCAACCGAAGCTCCCTCACAAAGTGAGGATTGTTACGGGTGGCCGAAAGGGAAAGATAAACCTTTGCCTGTATAAGTTGGTCCTTGAGCTGACGAATACGAGCATCTTGTGGCCCTGTTTGAACACTTTGTCTTTCAGTTATAGTCTTCACTTGAACCCTTGAAATATCTTTGCTGGAGGTCCGGGGAGTTTTTATTTCCTGGTAAAAAAGATGGACAGACAAAGCACAGGAAAATGACAATCATAGAGGCTGCATAAAGTCCGTCTGATTACTTATACAATGAATAAATCCAGAATGAGATTTTACAGAGCCAATATGATAGCGGACTATCAGAGATTAGAATGATGCTTGCGGGCAAAGACACGTGCTAACTGCGTCCGAGAACCAGAAAAAATGATATGTCCAACAAACAGGAAGCTATGTTATGATGAATGTCACAAACTCTTAAAATACTTACACGAATGCTCAGTAGTGTCTAACAAATTAGACAGAAGAGAATAACATGAAAAACACAGAATGCTCTAAAATCCTAAAGCTACAATATTGCATAGCAATTCCTTCAATAGTAAAAAGTGCCTTACCATTTTCCCCAACGGGTTTTCGGATTTACCCTTCAGATGTTGGGTATTAATATCTTTCCTCACACCATTTTCACCAGCACCATTTTTACTCGCAATTTTCATTTCATTTGCCTTTGATTTCTCTTTCCCTGAATCCCGGGCTGCCTCCTTCGCCTGATCAGTAACTTTCCTAATGGGATTTTCATCCAAAGACTGGTTTTCACGTCCACTACTGCTCCGAGAGGATGATCTGGAAACCCCATCTTCTGCTCCCGATTCTGTAAATATTCCATGTAATTAAGTGCATAGTACTCAGTAACTAAGTTCACGAATTAAGAGCCAAAAACGGAAACAAAAGAAACGAACTTAACCTCCAGCAAGTTGTCTAGTAATGCGAGCGTTATCTCGGGATTTAGCGTTCGAGTCTTCTCTACTAGATTCTGATGATTTTTCTGAATAAACAATGCCCAATGGTTCTTTCAATGAGGTAGATGATTCCTATCAGTTGCAAACAGTAAACACAGTGAACCAAATCACAAAGATATAATACATCTTATAAACAGTACACTTGAAACATCAGAAAAGGGTAAGGGCATGGCAAGAAGTATACACCTGAGGAAGCACATGTAATGGCCTGACTTCACCAGCAAAAGTCTGAAAACAAGAAACCAAGAATTCAACATACAAAACACATAAATTGACAATGTGAAATAGGAGAAACTTACAAAGGTAGAAACATCCTCCACAAACTCATCCCTGGCTGTAAGAACAGAAAAGGACAACATAAATCATTTAGGACAACAATACAGGGAGAGAGAGGAGAGAGAGAGAGAGAGAGAGAGAGAGAGAGAGAGAGAGAGAGAGAGAGAGAGAGAGAGCATGAATTGAAGAATTAAAGCAAGGAAAGAGTGAAAATTACAAGAGGAGGGAGTGAAATAAGCTCCAAGGATGTCATGGTAGAGGACAATTGGGGCAAAAACTGTCACCAACAGCAGGAAAAGCACTGGTTTTCTGAGCTTTATCTTCATTTTTTCTTATATTCCTCCCTACCTAAACAACTCACTGACGAACAAATTTAAAGGTTCCAACTTTTTAAGACCAAATCTTGACTGCAACACACATAAATACCAGAACACACCGACCCAGAAAAAAAAAAAAAAAAAAAAAAAA